TAATCAGTAACCACAAACTGTGAAGTCTTGATTGCCAGCCATCTTGAATGAAGTGTTGTAACCATAAGAAATTCAAAAGGAAGTAGGGATTTTACAGGACAGATTTTTAATGTTAGTTTGGCCCAAATGCAGTAATGTTTTTCCAAAAAGTCTCTTTAGTGATACTCTTTTTGAAGCCAGAAATCCTCTTAAGTCTCGCCAGCACAAGGTAGTCTTGCAGAGACAACTTGAAGATTGTTATTTTGTTTTCATCTCAAGGGGCTCTTCAACCACTTTAATAATAATTGGAAAACCATTTCTAGTTTTCCTTCAGTGATGTTCTTTTGGTGAAAGAATTAATGAACGTCAATAGCTGGAAATGAAAGATTGGATTTTGTTTCCATTTTCCATAATTTTCTAAGACTTTATATCTTTGTAAATCTCTCAGTACTCAATCAACTATAAGTATCCAGGGAGCCCAATTTCTTTTCAGAAATCCATCCATCTACTTCTCTCTCACCTGATTTATATCTCAGAATAAATGCGTGAAATGAGATTCCAGGCATATGGAAGATGCCTAAAGTTGATTCTATGCCCCTTGGGTCCAGGAAAAATAATGAGGAGTAAAAGTATATGAAACTCTAAAAATTCCTGTCATTTTTAAAAAGGAACATGAGGTATATTTCTGTCTGGCTGTTTGGATAACCCTTTCCTTGTGTTAGCCATGAATACAGGGTCACTGGTAGGGAGAGGTTCTGAAATTCCCTGACCTCCTGTTGTTGAATGAGGCCTTTGCAAGCCTTGTACAAGGAGATTATTCTTCTGAATCAATTCTTAGAAACAGTTATTTTTCATCTTTCCAGCTCATTTAATGGTCTCCTTCCTCAGTACAGTAAAGATTGTTTACAGTCACCAATAATTGTGGTTTTTATACAGCAGTGCAGCCTCAAGGTTGAGCACATCACAGAATTGATGGCCTGGGAGAACCTTGACATGTGCTCATTACTGTCCCTCCTGCCATGTCAGCCTCTGACACATCCTCACCCAAAGTGCCACGCTTCTGGTCATGACAGTTCCTTCTCCCTGGTACCAGGAATATTTTCTGTATCAGATCTGATCTTGGCCTTCCCTTCTGTGACTGAATTTCTTTCTCTTATAATCAACTGAAACCCTATAAGTTCAAGTTCAGAGGCCTGGAATCAGAACGGTTTTATAATTTAACTTTTCTGTATAACACTCTTCCAAATTGAGGGTTTTTTTCAGTGGAGTATTTGATTAGAGAAGAAGATGTAAAAATAGTCAATCTTGTAATTTATAAATGTCAAGCCAATTTCCAGTTGGAACCCAAATATAATTGTACAGGTTGAGCATCCCTAATCTGAAAATCTAAAGTCCCAGATGTTGCAAAATCTGATAACATTTAGAGTGCTGTGGTGCCAAAAGTTAAAAATGTCACACCTGACCTCATGGGACAAGTTGCAGTCAAAACTTTGTTTCATGTACATGATTATTGCCATCTTATATAAAATGACCTTTAGGCCGTAGGTATATAGGTGTAAGGTGTATATGAAACAAATGATTTCAAGTTCAGATTTGGATCCCATCCTCAATATCTCTCTCATATATATATATAGACACACACACAGATATTCCACAATCCAAAAAAATAGCAAACATTTCTAGTCCTAAGCATTTGGGATAAGAGATGCTTGACCTATGACTATATAAACACAGATGGTTATATTATTATACATAAGGAGTTTACATGTCTGTCTATGAGAATCACTTTCCGTAATATTCCCTTTCATTCTGGCAAAAGATTTTTTGTTTTTACCAAACGGCCTGGTAACTACACATCTAATTTAATTTCTTTTCACTTGAAGCCTCAAGATTTGTTTTCAACACAATAAATATGCAACTAAAGGAAAAAACAGCCTAAAATAATTTAAACTTAAAATTAGATCAACATTTCAATAAGATTTTGGAGATTTTTCCTACAGATAATATATTTAATCTAGAAGTTTAAGATTTAGAAACATGCTTATAATTTAAACAATTTTTTAAAAATTATGTTTTTTTGTCTTGCAATACCATATATTTAATGATAGAGTGATGTTTTATGTCCATTGAAATTAAGTGAATGAAGTGAAAGTAACTGGATTTTGGAATGGGGAAGTACAACGGTTTATGTGTGGGTAGCTGGAGCAGGTACTTTGCCATTGATTAGAGGAAAGTTTGAAATGTCTGATTACCTTTTTATTGAATTATTACTATGCATCTCTTGATAAATCTGCTAGGCCAGCTTGCTTGGAGATCTCATACTGAAGAGGTTTACTGGCAGTCCCACTTCATTCTTTTCCTTTAAAGTACGGTCATCGGGTGGGGTGGAAGACAGGACCTGTTGAGTTCACGGGGTCGTGCCCTGCATGGGCACTTCCTTACATTCTCACCTTGCACATAGGAGCCTTGTCTCTTAGCCCCACTGCATGAATTCAAGATAACTACAGTAGTAAAAAGTAAACATGCTTCAAATGAATTGGCTTTTGATAGTGGAGAAAGCCAAATTTTGACTTTTTATGGCCAAAACCCTTTGTTGATAGCTATGATTTTGCAACATGGTTTGGATACATGTGTGTCTGTAGAACTTGAATCTTGTAACACTTTCAGGATAGATGATAAAAATGTATTTTAAGGGAAGTGCTTACCATGTGACTTTTTTTTTTTTTTAACCAAAGCCCTTAGGATTGGATCTTTTATGTTGTTTTACACATTGGGAAACATTGAAGAGTCCAAATAAAAATAAAAAGTAAGGGGGAAATCAGGGTAAGCTTGATTTCAGCAAACATCTTTGGTGTGAGGTGAGAAAGCAGGGAGACTGGTGCTCTGTGGCCTTCACCTCAGGGTCGGAGTGTTCTGTGTATCCTGCCAGTATCACAAAAGTGGGGGTCACCTATCTTGTCAAATATACCAACACTTTGGAAAGTATTCGTGTAAATCTTTTGTGCCAACAGAAATGTTCCTTCTTGTGTAATACCTCTTTATCACAGTCCTACGCTTTGATCTTCTTGAGAAGATTCTAGCTTGACTTGCAAAGCCAAATGTAGTGTCCAGTCTGATGAACCCTGATGGGGCAGCTTTCTGAACAGCCTTCCTGAAGCAGGAAGTTCATTTGAAAAGGCTTTGATAGCTTCTGCCCAAGATGTGGCCTTCAGATGGCTTCTTCTCAGTAAAGGTTTACATAAACTGTGACACTCTCTGTGTGGCTCTTACAACTTTGATGTTTCCAAAGTAGTTTAATCATATTTGTTGTTAGCATTGTGGAAATACAATTTTTACACTAAATACACTGCTTATTTGTACTGCCATATGTTCTAAGTTTGCTGTTTATATTCTTCGTGACAGTCTTGGCCGTTTAGCCCAGTGTATTTATTTTCCTCTTTGTGTATTCTTTGCTTCCTGGAGTAGCATCTGCAGCAGCTGGAATGAGCAATCAAGATAATGTGTTTCAAGTAGTACATTGCCTGAACCACAAGCACTTGATCACAGTATTGTACATAATCTTTGATCCTAGATGTTTTCATTTTATTGTAAATTCCCATCTGTATCAAATCTTAATTCAGTGTTGAATAAGTAAAAACGAAGTAGTGTTTGCTTTTCATATATGTATTTTCATAAGAGCCATTTGCCTTGGCAGTGAAAAATATTACTTTGTTAAAATAACTTTCCTCTGTGTCCATCCTCCATATTTTCTGTCTTTTGTCCCTTCCTGTCTTGGTGAAACCCAAACCACGTGCCCTTTAGGTGCCCTGGAAAGTACACAAAACCAAAGATGAGCCCATGGATCCGAGGCCCGCCCTTGTCACAGACCATTGTGTTACCTGTAGAAACTCTCCATACTCATCTCCATACTCACCTCTTGGGTCTTCCTCTGTCCTGAGGTCCAGGAGAGGCCAGAGCTGGAGCAGGTGGCGAGAGACGCCCCTGACCTCCACGGTGCTGGGAACTGATCTGGTCTCCAGCGCTTTCAGACAACATGGAACACCTCACCCTCCTTACCACTTCTCAGTGAAGGAAGGAGGCAAGGCAGCTCCTGCAAAAACTCCTCGGAGGTGAAAGAGTGCAGACGTGACTTCTCTCTTTGGGGAGATGGTAGGAGGATGCAGCGTGAGAAGAAGCTGCTCGAGTTCCGTGTCCCCAAGTCCTGCCCTCGCCCTCGCCCTGGAGAAACTAGCTCAGAATGATTACTTGATCATGCAGAGAAATCTATCTTGTCACTCTGTATCCACCCACATGACCAAGGCTATCCATTCTTGGTGGTAACAAAACCGGCAGCTTTGAAACCCAACGATCTTGAGTTAACAAAATCTGGCTCCTCCTTCATCCCAATCTTTTTTTTTTTTTTATCACCCCAATCTTGTATTAGGCTAGTCTAGGCTCTGCTCATAGAGCCCCAAATCTCTGGGTCTTTAAGAACAAGAATGTTTCACAAAGTTTGCACCAGGCATCCCAAGGAATGAG